TTGGAATTTGGGGAATTTGGAATTTGGAATTTGGAATTTGGGATTTTGAGGTTTTTTGGATTTTGGGAATTTGGAATTTTGGAATTTTGGAAGTTTGGAATTTGGGAATTTAAGAATTCCTAAACATAAAAATTTGAAAATTTCCAAATAAAAAAATTGAGAATTTAGAAATGAATTACAGAATCTAGAAATGTAGAAATTTGTTGATGAAAGAAATATTAGTGAACGAATTACTAAACGCGTAATAATTTTGTAGGTTACTGTAGTGGTCCAAAAATATCCTATCAGTTAACCACTAACAGGACGTCGAACAATGGACACAACAGGATACAGGCGATACAGGATATACAAACTGGACTCGCCTACTGTGAATCACGCAGTGAGGTATGCAAAAGAACGAAAGTTCCGTGAAACATTGGTCGCAGACCTGGCTCCAGCTCGATGATATTTGATATTACCAAGCCTATGAATAATCATAAAATGAAATCATTTCGTACTAATTAATCGTGCAAGTTTAAAAATTATATCACCATATTCCTTAATTTTTACAATTGCAAGAAATTAATATTTTCAAAGAAAAAGTTGAACAATTCTATATTGAAATAAATAATAAATATGATATTCATCAGAAATAATACGTTGAATATTCAAATAACTAATAAATATATTTATCAGAAGTAATATGTTCTACATTAAAATAACTAATAAATATATTTATCAGAAAGAATATGTTCTATATTCAAATAACAAATAAATACGATATTTATCAGAACAAGTTTCAAATGTCTCCGACAATGATCCAATTAATTCGGTTGAAAGGGTCTGATCGTGAGAAAAGGGATCGGCAATATTCTATTTCTAGCCGATAGACAACAAAATATTATCTTGCGTGCAAAGGCGGAATTTCATTCCAGATGTTGCAACATTCTGCTGCTAGAAGTCGAGGACACGTCTGAAGGTAAACACTGCAGGAGTGTAAAAAGAAATTCATACAAACTGGTTTCTTATAAATATTCACTGTTTCAGTATTTAGAATTAAACTGTACTATTACTGTAAATTACTTGTAATCAGTAGACAATTATTGACATCTAAATTCAAGTGATATATAATCAAATATGAAGATTAGGTAAGGTTAGAATTGATGGAAGTCATAAAATAATAATAAAATATAATTAAATAGTGAAATGGTTCTATAATGAAGTTGTGAATAATGACAGAATAATAGAGAGGAGATCTGTAGTAGTAGGACAGTGATATAGTAAAGTGGTGAAATAGCAGAATGAAAGAAAAATGAAATAATAGTATAGTTATATAATGGAATATTAACAGAGTGAAATAGTGAACACTGAAATATTGAAATAGTATTACAATGAAAAAGTAGAACAATTTGTATAGTAAAACAGTGGATAGTGAAACACCAAACCTAACCTAACCAAACCACCAAAAATCACACCTCCCTCGAAACCACAAACTGCAAAAAAGAAAATAAATTCCTCAAATTCCAGAAATTATTGAAATAGTATTGCAATGAAAAAGTAGAACAATTTGTATAGTAAAACAGTGAACAGTGAAACACCAAACATAACCTATCCAAACCACCAAAAGTCACACCTCCCTGAAAACCACACAAAACTGCAGAAAAGAAAATAAATTCCTCAAATTCCTGAAATTATTGAAATAGTATTGCAATGAAAAAGTAGAACAATTTGCATAGTAAAACAGTGAATAGTGAAACACCAAACCTAACCTAACCAAACCACTAAAGTCACACCTCCCCCAAAACCACAAACTGCAAAAAAGAAAATAAATTCCTCAAAGAGTAAAAATCTCGAACGCGAAAAATCACATCCCAAAGAGATTCAAGAGTCAATAAAAGAGTATAGAGAAAATTGAAAGCCGTTCTGTTTGAAATCTACATAA